GATACATGCCTGCTCACCACTGAGTGCACAACTGGTAGCCCTTGGCCCTCTTCTAGCGAGACACCTTCGACCTGGATGTAGCGTGCACTTGTGAAGCAGAAGTCTGGCTCCCATGTTTCGACTCCTGTACCAGCAAGAGTGAACTTGCAGAACACGCCCGTCTCGAACTGCTTAAAGAGTGGATCGGGCATTAGTACCTTGCCATCTTCACCAATCGTCTCAGAGAAACGGACGATGACTTCTGAGCCTGCCGGACCGCTGACTTGTATCTTAACCATGGTTGTCATATTCTGGCCGAAGTCGAACATGACAACATCTGGCTCGACCGTCTTGGTCGATCGCGGTTCGAAGGTCTCATGCAACGCAACGGGCGGTTGACTTTGGTACTTCAATTTCCCTCTCGGGCCTGTCACGGGCGTCGCAGGCTTCCAATTCTCGTCCTCTTTGAAGCCCGGGGCATCCCATCCGGTAGGATAGGCGCGCAAGTCTTTGGTTTCGGAAGAGTATATGTTGGCTAGTTTGGTCGCACTCTTGCGGATACTCCAATCTGGGCCTGTAGTAATGATCTCGTGGCTACGATCGGCGTAGAACAGATGTAGCTCCATGAAGAAGCAAAGCTCGTTGCCATATCTAACGTATGTGTTGTCTTCGTAGCATGGCCAGAAGAAACGGTCGTCGCCTTGGTCACCCGCGTAGAAGCCATTGCCGATGTGTGCGCCCAGTACGTTCTCGCCCTGATTTAGTATTTTGGACAAGTCGTATGCGACAAACTGCACCGTGCGATGGTAGTTCGTCCAGCCGGGATCAAGGACGTGACCGTTCGCCGCTGCGGGATCGCCATTACAGACGAAGTTGAAATGGCCAAGACCCGATGCGAACGCAATGGCACGAGACGGCTTCCGATCGAGATGTAGCGCCTTGCGTACATATAGCGGCTTGTCCCCGTTATCGCCGATCCAGACGCCCTTCCATCGATTCGACTCATCTTCAAACCATGTACGGAAGATGAGGCTGGTGTGTGGCATGTAGGTCTGGTTCATGCTGTATGGTGGCAGTAACCCAGAACATCTGGGGTATGCAGTGAAGAACTCATTTGCCTTGCCAACCGTGACAGTACCATCAGAGTCCCACACTGTGACTCTCCAGTAGTGAAAGGTTGCCGGTTCGAAACCTCCGTCAGGTGCACAGAGTATATTGCGTTGCCTATCGCTTTCCACCTTTCCAGAGTTCCATACTGTTTTGTCCCACAATCCTGGTGTCGTGAAGACTTCAACGCGATATGCTATTTGCTGGCTGTCCTCGCGATCTGAATGGAGAACCCAAAAGAAGCGGAGTCTGTCTGTGTCGATGCCGAGCGCCTCGTGGAAACCGTGTATACCGCATCGCGTGACTTCTAGGACCATACTGAGCGATTGCGGAATTGAGATGGCTTGCGTTCGTAAGGTTGGCTTGCTTGAGCAACCACAATGTCGTGCAGCATAGGTTATCGGAAAGGTGGAGGTTTGGTGGCTGTTACTGCGAGAGGGTTCAACTAATCATTTACATCTTCAACTCATCGATCAGAGTACGCGTCGTAACGAGATGCTGCGAAATTCGGGTGAATTGGCTGCGAGACCACCGACCGATAGCCTGTTAGGCGTGACATGAGTGTTTGACAGGGTCTTGTCCCGACGTGGTCCCGAAGTGGAGATTCGCCTCCGGACATGTGATTCGATGCCGAGCGCGAATGCGGGGACCCCACCAAGACATCGCAGCTTGACCTGCAGTTCGATCTTGACTCCCGACCCGTAGCGCAGGGCCTTACCGTTCGTAATAATCATTCTCCGACATTTTGACTGATGGCGAGCACAACCTCTAGCGTCGTAGCAAAAGCTCGACATAGGCATCGTACCTTATGATAGTAGTTGCAAGCTGTCGAATTCGAAGTATTGATACAACCACGTAGAGGGCAGCATCATGTATTAGCCTGAACAGTTCTGCGAGATGCGTGCTGTTGTTCCATCTAGCCCGAACTTTCGCGACGGCAGTAGAGGGTGACAAGCATTCTATGCCCCTTGTACAGTCTCCATGATCCGTGCATGGACACATGCGCGTGTCAGCCAATGCTGGCTTCGGGGCAGTAGAGTCCGGGGTAACAAGGGACGCGAAATAGAACGACAGTCTGTTGATACATAAGCCGCGGTGTCGCATGGCGACAGATCCACTTCCCCACACACTATCTCACATCATCGCTCAAGATGGGAGTCGCTGTCACGGTCTTTAGCGCAATCTTTCTGGCGACTGGAGGTAGGGTTTTCACCTGGCAAGCGCACGAGCTCACAAGCTGTGTACTGATTCATCCACAGGTTTCCTTTTCGGATATGACTCTGGTATCATCACCTCGACCATCGCCCTTCCTACCTTCAAAGAGTACTTTAACGACCCTTCGGACGATGTTGTCGGTGGTATTGTGTCCGCCTTTCAAGGTGGTGCCATCGCCGGTACCATCTTCAACATGCTGTTCGCGGATGTGCTAGGCCGTCGCTGGACTATCTTCGTAGGAGCGGTCATCTCCATTCTGGGCAGTTCTCTTCAAGCAGGGGCTGTGAACATGGCTATGCTCATCATCGGTCGCTTCATCGGCGGAGTCGCAGTAGGTCAGCTCACTTCGACCATCCCTATGTACGCCGGTGAGCTGTCCGAGGCGAGATACCGTGGCACTCTCTCTGGTTTGCTGCAGTGGATGCTGAGCTGGGGATTCTTCGTCGCTCAATGGCTCGGCTATGGCTGCTCCTTCAACAGCACTCAATTCTCATGTAAGTCGACCTAGACATGAGTCGCTGCCTTTTCATCCTAACACATCTCAGGGCGCTTTCCTCTCGCATTCCAGAATGTACCTGGTCTCGTCTTGCTTGCAGGCATTTTCTTTCTGCAGGAGTCTCCTCGTTGGCTCATGGAGAAAGATCGACATGAAGACGCCATGGCCTCGCTCAGCAAGCTTCGAAGGGGCCACGACGCTGAGACAATCGATCTAGAATTCCGCGAAATCCGTGATGTCATCATCGCAGACCGCGCTCTGGGCAACATCAGTTGGCTGTCGATCATTACGAAAACCTCATGGCGCAAGCGTCTCTTGCTGGGTTGTGGTGTACAAGCATTTGGTCCGCTTTCCGGTATCAACGTTATCAACTACTACGGCCCGCGCATCTACGAGATCCTCGGGATATCGACACAAGAGTCGCTCATGATCATTGGTATCAGCGGTGCTCTCTCAATCGTGTGGTGTACCATCGGACTGGCACTGGTCGACAAGTTTGGACGTATCAAGCCCCTTCTTATATCGGCGGCGGGCCTAGCGGCTGCTCTTCTCGTCAACGCAGTACAAGGGCAATACTTTGACCCCAACAATGGCGCGCAGCTGCGCAGTATGGTGGCCATGAACTTCCTCTTCTCCTTCTTTTACACACCTCTTGGTATCATCTCGTGGGTTTACCCCGCAGAGATTTTCCCCATCGAATGCCGCGCCCTTGGCAACGCCATCACGACTTTTACAAACTGGGTTGTGAACCTCATCTTCGCCCAGTTCTCTCCTCAAGCACTCAGCACGATTGAGTTCAAGTACTTTTACGTCTTCTTCTGCTTCAACATTGTTGCTTTCTTGTGCTATTGGTTCTTCTATCCGGAGACCAAAGGCAAGACCTTGGAACAGATGGACGAGCTGTTTGGCGATCAATTGGTACCGCATGCATTGCAAGATCCGGCAGCGGCATCGGCGGCTATGGAAAAGGATGAGAAGCTTCACGCGGAGATCGCGGTCGTCTGATTGCCATTTGATGCGGCTGCTGTTGGTGTTGAGCGGAACGAATGTCAGAGGGAAGCTGCAGGTGGCGTTGTTGGAAGGTCAACCTGTGACAGGTGCGCGGTGTTTATAGCGACTTATAATCATATACGATGTGAGACCTTCCGAAATTCAATGTGACATGTATAGACGGAACGTATGAGCATATTAGTGCCTCATGAGGAACAATAACAATTGGGTTGGCGCAGGCAGGATGTCGATGCAAGCCCTGGAGAAGGCGGAAAGCACGTGTGCAGCCGGGACGAGCTAGTACGTAAGAGGAAAGGCGCTGTGCGTCATTGACCCCTAGGCCTCATCCCCGGCGACTGTATCGGCCGCGAATCCCCGCCGGCCGCCGCACCCTCGAAGCCCTTCCCTTTCCAACAAATTACGAACAGACCCCATCGTCACTGCCCAAATCGCGCCCGGCTTCCCCAAACACTGCTGCGAGCGAGACAAGCCACTCATGACTCCCGAAATACATAACCACCACATACGCAAAAGATGCTCCTTATCAAATGAGAGAGATTACAATCCTCACACTCCCTAGACGCTGCACTCTCAATCTCCCAAACCCCCGTTTGAGCAAGTAGTCCCCTCGGAAAAGGCAAACCACCAGTGACCCAGACCCTTCCGCGAACGCCAATTCGGCATTCCCACGCCACCGTCAGCAGAAAGCTACTGAATTTAATTGAAGGTCATAGCGTGGAGACGTAGGTAGATGGATTCAAATAGTTGTCATTCTTCCCAGGCATTTTATCAATAAATCAGTTCGTAATCTCAACAAAGGCACCTCCAACCCAGATGCAGCCAGTGTAGACGCCTCAAACCCACTTTGATACTGACAATTGTTTCCCTAACAACACACTACCGATCTACAACACAACCTTCACTAAGCCCTCCTTCCTTCACTAGGCTCTCCTTCCTTTATCGGGCTCTCCTTCCCTCACCAAGCTCTCCTTCCACTCACCAAGCTCTCCTTTCCTCACCAAGCTCTCCTTCCCTCACCAAGCTCTCCTTCCCTCACCAAGCTCTCCTTCCCTCACCAATCTCTCCTTCCCTCACCAATCTCTCCTTCCCTCACCAATCTCTCTATACTCGACCCAGCCCTTCACACCATCCATCGCTTCTCCCCCATACAATGCAGCACCGATTCTCATCTCCAACCATCCCACGTGCTACAATGAGCTCGTTGACTGGATCAAATGCTTCCAAAAGCCCCTCCCAGTCCTTAGCCCCTCGCCGAACGCCCGTTACCGAACAGTCGAGGCATCTGGAAAAACAACCAAAGATGCCAAAGCACCAGGCACGGCTAGACGTCACCCCAGTCAATCCTCTCATAGCGCAAGCCAATGCTATCCTCAACGAACTCCAGCGGACGGAACTTAGCACCAGGTCGATGCTCTCAACTCTACCTCAGCTCGGTCAAAACTCTGAAGGCGACGTCAGCAACAACATCTTCCTATATGTCATCGCGCCGATCATCGAGGTCTTGAATCACAAGTACGGAGACACCTTCGAGTACACGACCGAGCTGAGCCATAGCATCGAAAAGGAGGATCCGGTGAACGACAAGGCGCAAAACGGTGTGCGTTTTGACGCCGTCTTCCTCAAGCGCCAAGGCGGGGGGGTGATCGCACTCCTCGAGTTCAAGAAGAAGGAGTACCTAGTGTACAGGGATTTTGAGGGGGCGCTGGTTGAAGAGGCAGGCTCGAGCCCAGATGGAGGTCTTACACGCAACGGTGCCATATTCACAAAACAAATCTCAGCCTACGCAGTCAAAAGCGGGTGCAAACACGTCGCCCTCTTCAACTGGGACCATTTGCTCTTGTTTGACTTCTTCCAGCTCGAGAAAAAGAGTAACATTGAGAGGTTTATTGGGAAGAAGGCGAGGCTGACCTGGGTGGTAGAGAGGGAGGAATTGCGAGGGAAGCACATGAAACAGCACTTGATCAGGAAAGCCTTATTGGGTTGGCTTCTCCAAGCCTTCAAGGACGCTGATATGACCCCAGCTAGCTGAGGTTGGCGTCTTGTTCGGTCATGTTTGGGGTTCTTTCTTCTTCTCGGTCTATAGTCTTCTTGATGTTTGGGGTTCTGGCGATGGATGGGTAGCATTAGATACTTCCAAGGTTCAATTCATCACTCTTACACTCAACGGATTATGAGCTCGGCGCTCCCAACGCCAACTACCTGATACCTCACTATTGCATCTTTGCCATCGTCATGCATCGTGTTCTGTCCTCGTCCTCATTGTTGCTGAGAAGCCGCTAGTTGGTTTGGCTGAAACACGTCATCATCCACGGTACATCCCACTTCCACCCCGCACCGGCCTCCCGTCCGCTCAGCCACGCCAACCTGTGGAAAAAACTCAACACCTTAGAGCCTACGTTAACGTTGGGCCACCTACTTTGCAGGGCTTTGTCTTAATGTAGTCTGCAGGCCTGTTCATTTTTTTTGTATAAGGTGCAGCCATATACAAGCATGATACCGGCGGATTAGTAGTTAGGTGGCCCCGCTGTTGTATGTTTTTGCGCTTCTTTTTGCCATTCTTTGCAACAAGTCCGATGACTAGAGGCACCCCAGGAACGACGAGTCTACTGCCTAGGAGCAATACAGGTAGTCTCTGCTACCCATCGAGAGGCCCTTTCCGATTCCAACAGCTCTCACGTCGACTCAACCTTACCATAACGGTATTGTAGGTAGTCGCAACCCCTCCACCTACCGCATTCCTTTTGCTTGGATATCTCCCCCAAAGCAACCCACAAGGTCAGAGAGGAGCTCAGAGGTCCACCAAGCCCATGCCGTTCACCTTGTCATGTTCAAACTCGCGAAGTCGCTCTTTCGAAGGCAGCCATGGCCCCAACTCAATTTCCCGACATCGGGGTTCGAAGTCGTCAGCGATGCGCTACTGTTCGAAGAAGAACAGCTTGCGGAGTTCCACAGGGGCGTCTACTATCCTGTCAACATAGGAGATGTCTTCGCGTCGAAGTACCAAGTAGTAGGCAAACTTGGTTTCGGTGTCACGTCCACTGTCTGGCTGGCCCGTGATCTACAGCAAGTTAGCATTCGGCCGTTATGCTAGCTATCTGTACTGACAGCAAGCCAGCCGCCATGCCTATACGACCTTGAAAGTGTTCACACGAGAGGGGATGGACCAGGATGAATACAACATCCACAATACCTTAAGCAAAGGCAATGCTTCGCATCCGGGATACAATCACGTCCGGAGAGCCCTCGACTTGTTTACCATACCCCGACAAGGCGGCAATCATCGATGTCTTGTCCAGAAACCAATGTGGGATAGCTTCAAGGATCTCTTGAACAGGAACCCCACGCACCGTTTCACGGACGAGCTGCTACGAGCTGGGTTGTCGCAGGTGTTCCTTGCCCTCGATTACCTTCACACAGAAGCCAAGGTCATACATACAGGTACGGCCTACCTAACACATGTCTTTCCACAATCCTGTTAACAAGGGTGCAGACATAAAAGCCGACAACATCCTCATAGAAATCGAGGATCAGGACATCTTGAAAGCCTTTGTCGACGCCGAAATGACCTCTCCCTCGCCTCGCAAAGTCGTAGAGGGTAAGCCAGTCTACGCGACACGTCAATTTGGATTACCGAAAGAATACGGTCGTGTTGTCCTTGGAGACTTCGGCTCTGCAGTTCGCGGCGATAAACCCCAGATCCACGACGCGCAACCAGACGTCTACCGCTGTCCAGAGGTTATGCTGAAGACTGAATGGGGCTATCCAGCTGATATCTGGAACGTGGGAGCGATGGTATGTACCGTCTCAAGCTTGACGACAACGAAATCAGACATTGACTGAGATGCACACAGATTTGGGATCTATACGAGGACAAGCACCTCTTTTACGGCATCGATCCAATCGAAAAGCGTTACCTCACTAGAGCCCATCTCGCGGAGGTAATCGCGATGCTCGGTCCGCCGCCGATGGATCTGCTAGAGCGCGGAGCGCGGAGCAAAGAGTTCTTCGATGGTGAAGGGAATTGGATAGCCGAGATATCTATACCGCGAGGCTTGACGTTGGAGAAATCAGAAGAGAATCTAGAAGGAGAGAAGAAAGAGGATTTTCTGCGGTTTGTGAGGTGCATGTTGCAGTGGAGGCCTGAGGATCGGTGGACTGCGAAGGAGTTACTTGGGCATCCTTGGATGAGAGGGAACTGACTTTACAATGTAGATCAATACATCTCATTAAGACCGGCAGCTAGGCTCATGTTCTCGCAAAACATTCCATTATACCTGCCGTTGTTGCCATCCATGCTGGTGCAATCTTAGAGACCCCGAGCAGCGCCCCGACTGTAATTGAGTTTGAGTCCGGCCGTGCGTTGCGCCGAGCCACTCTCCCAGATCATCACGAAGCACAGTAAGCAGAAGTGCAGTGTATGTATGGATGAACATTATCATTTCCAATTCCATCAGTCTATAAACAAGAAGCTATGCAAACGCTCAAATGCGATGATAATATATACAATATCGAACGATCTCCATCAGCTCAGCATCTACCAACTAGCATCTAAGCGTAGAGGCACTTGTAGGTAGTCTCCTCCTTGAGCGCCTTCATGGTGAAGGGAGTGCATCCCTCAGAGCCAGCAGGCTTCTCGGTACCAGAGAGCCAGATCTTCCAGCCACCGCCAACAGCGCCGGGGCAGGCCTGGAAGCCAATGTCGCCGGAAAGACCACCAGCAGCGAAGACAAGGTCACCATCGTCGTTGATCTTGAAGGGGCCGCGCTCCTGGTTCTTGCCAATGGGCTGGACACCAGTGGAGTAGCGGACGTTGCCCTGGCCCATGCCGCTGCGGTCGACGTAGAGCTGGAGAGGGGGGTTGAAGGTGTAGATGTAGACGCTGCCGGTCTCCTCGTCGAGCGAGAAGGAGGCGTAGTTGATGCCGTTGGTAACGTTCTCGCGGTCACCGTTGACGGCGCAGGTCTTGTTGTTCTCGGAGGGGGTGTTGATGAGGAGGCTGCCGTTGGCGGCCTGGACGTTGCCGTACTGGATGGGGGTGGCAGAACGCAGGGACATCAGACGGAAGATGTCGCCGGCCTCGGGGCGAGGGAAGACGGATGCCTGGGGAAGGGCAGAGGAGATGGCGGCCATGGAGGCGATGGCGGCGGCGGCGGTGAACTTCATGTTGATGGTTTGGAGGTGTTGTTGAAGTGTGGAAGTGGTTGTTGTGGTGATTAAGTATTAGTGTAGAGTTGATGAGTTGATGTTTGGATGATGGCTTAGAGAGAGCAGCATCCCATCTCTCTTATATCCAAATGCCATCTCGTATTTCCTGCCCTTGTCATACATCATGCCTGTCCTCAAAGAGGCTGAAGGGTGTCCACACTCGGCGCCGACGACCAAAGCGCAACGCTATGACTTCATCCAGTCGGGTAATTATCGTATCCCCAGTTTTTGTGACCCTGCAATGGCAAGCACCGGCTGTGGCGCGCCCCCCTCCCATAACCGTCTAGAAGGTTTTGGGCGGAAATGACGCATAATTGCCACGGCATAGGGCCGAAGCCCTTGGCAGGTAGCCGAAAGAGGGAAGGCGCAGCCCCTTGTCAATTTCTGATTGGTGGCGGCCTCGGCCGGCATGCGCTCGAAATAGACACAGCAATGTCGTCTCCAGAAAACATTCATGCCGAGGATATGCCCTTTGAAACTAACGGTGTAGACATTCGCGTTGGGAGACAGATGTGGTCGCCTCCAGTCGAATACGATGGAAGATCACAAGACGATGTTACTTTCGCTCGTAAAGGTGGGTTCCAGCAGCTGCTGGCAGTATTGCTGTAGTGCTTGGACGAACGTTTCGAGATTATCGTCAATGCAAAGTCTTGAAAGCCCGTCATCGTACCGGCGTATTTCGTACTTGGGTGGGTGAGCACTGGGGCATCCCCGCTGTTGAATGTCTACGCTCTTTTTTTAGTACTTGGATCGGATCTCGGAGAGAAGCGCCATCGAACTTCCTTCCATCGAAAGACTTCTTCACCGTACGTGGAACATCTCCTCTGAGCCGCCCTGAGCTTTGTGTATTTGCACCGCCTCGCCGTCCATGATGCCATGTACATATGTCTCTCCAAGCAGCCAATACCCGTCGGCTTTCTTTCTCAAAACGAAGGGCGTCTTTCCACCTCTTAGGACTGCAACAATGTCTCCAGGTTGCATACAGCGAGGCCCTATACCCGGCCGGCCGGCCGCCGTGACGAAAAAACGGCGGCTTACACAACAGCCGGTTCTAACACTTTCTGTTATGAACCGCATCTTTTCCCAATCGAATCCCTTTCCGGTTCTGACGGTATTTGAGGCTACATCACCCTCGTGCACGATCAAACTCTCAAGGTATCCTACAAGAGGCTGCAAAACACCCGCCTGTGCGCGATTTCCATGGAACGTGTTGGCTGCCGTGAGAGTAAAAGCTAGAGCTAGGTAGAGTTCTTCCCGATGCGCGACGTGGCAATGGCTCATGGCTATTTCTTTGACTGAGACTAGCCACTCGTGGTAATCTTCGTAACCCTGCCAAGTACTTTTTGGGCAAGTGACACTTGTTTGAAGTACTTCTTCTACCACTATACCTTGAAGCAGCATCACGTTTCCACCAAAAGACACGTTGTTGAGTGAAGACGCTAGCTCGAGACCCTCGCAAGCGTTGAAAAATGCAGGAAGAGCCCGATAAGTCTGAGCTGTGTGTCGCAAATCTACCCGAAAAGTCCATGTCGGAAATTGTTGAGAATCGGCCATTACATCAGAGTGATGGCTGATCATGCCCAAGACGTGCAGATCACCTCTCTGACACAAGGCAAACCGTGTAGCATCTCGTAACACGTCGGGTAGCGATTTCGTATAGTCAACCCTAAGTAATGCCGCTTGACTGTTTTCTAGGGATGTATCTTCGTCCAGTAGGCCCAGAATGGCATATATGCTATCTTTTGGCTCAGACTTCTCGAATTGTTGGGTTGTTCCCAACAGGATGTCTAGATACTTGCGCTTTGATGCAAAACGATCATCGGGGTAGAGGGTGTCGAACATCTCGCCAGCACAACGTAGGCCAACACAACAGTGAAGACTATGAGTGATGTATTCCCATTTGTACATGAGCCATCTTGCAGCTTGTAAAATCTCCGAGAGGTGGAAAGTGCAAGTACCCCAATAGCAGGTATTTGATGATGCGAGAACGGCTTCCTGCAGTACCCATAGGCGGCTATAATTGCTAAATTTAACTCTGCGTGAGATAATTGACGTGTGGTCTTACCTAAACCAGCCCAGACTGTACAGAGCTTCAAGAGCTTCGAAATCCATGCTTTCGCTGAAAGATTCATTAGAGAACAATTCTGACCCAGATTTCCCGTTACGAAGGGTTTGGTATAGCAGAGTCGAGTCTGCGGTCGCTTTACGCATGTCGTCCACGACGCCTAGGACAGCCTTCACAGCTCTGTAGGCCATTGCTTCGTCGTCGTCGCCAAGGTAAATAAGATTATGCATTGCAGTACTATAGACTGTCGTCATCAAAGCCACCTGGACGCTGCGTTCTGTCATCGATGACTGATCGATACATGTTGCGTCGATCCAGAGTGCTCGGGGCCGGTCACAGAGTCGCATCAATCTCAGAGCAGCCTCTGAACTTGCCGTTACTAACTGCAGATGCCCGTTCAGCGTTATAGTAGATTGACGTCGAGGTGGTCCCCAGCAATACGATATGGTCTCGTAGCATGGCACCGGATCGTCGAGAAGCGAGATGCGTTTCATGGTGCACTCGACGGGCTCACCGAAACTTGCGGGTGCAACCTCCAGAACCCGTATTTCTCCGTAGGATAAGGGTAGAGCTTCGTAGAGCGACGGGGAGTTGGACGTTGGGTGCGACGACATGGCTGCGGTGCTGATAACGATTGCTTGAATGGGCGCTTTATGTGAAGATGAAAGAGATGCTGTAGCGGGAGTGAAGGCTGAGAGGTAGCAAGTTTCCTTAAGCTGGCCGACCAGGCTGAAGATTAAATGAGCGGATGACACTCCAACTGGAAGGCTGAAGCTGTTGGATTTATCCTACCAATCGCACCCGACTTCCCAAGCCACCTGGGCACAGCCCAGTTAGAGCAGGCCCGGGGGCGAACCACAACAAGCAGATGTCGCCTGAGCTCATGACATTACATGGAGTTCCTACTACATTGATAGCTCCATCCAGGGCAGCTGTACGGTTTCCGTTATGATGGCGCATGTCTTCCGGGACGATACAGTTCGCTCAATCTTGAAGCTACGGCCCCGGGGTACGACTGTCGCTCGAAGACGCTAGTCCGCAATTATACTAGTACATTGCGGGGCATCTGCGGGCTGCAGTGGACGCCACCGTACATTAGTACTACAACACCACGTCTGGACACGTCTTAGTGCCATCCCGAAGAGCTCGTGAGATCTTGTCCTTCGAACGAGTAGCGAAACATGGCTAGACATAACTGGCTATGGCTTTGTCTAGCTTGGACGTTCGCTGCTGCAGCGGCCACCACGACGAGGCTGAAGTACATCATGTACCTAACAGGGTAAAGTCACAGCCCGCAACTCCTACGTGAGCCAACATTACTAATGTCTTCTAGGCAACATATCGTGGTGCCGGAGCAAAGTCTGGTGTCGAACATTACTGATGTGGCCCTCGCCTTCATGCGTTCTGATACCTTCAACACTCCAGAGCAAGATGAATGGCCGCTCTTCACCACCATTGAAGAAGTCCGTCCCAAGTTTGCGGATGGAACCATCATCCAAGTCGCGATCGGCGGATGGGGCGATACGGATGGCTTCTCGACAGCGGCCAGAACAGAGGAAAGCCGGAAGCTGTTCGCTAGCAACGTCAAGGCTATGCTCGATGCTACCGGCGCTGATGGTATGCTGCATCACATGGTACCTTCTTTTGGAGCAGATGCTGATCAAATAGGTATCGACATGGATTGGGAATACCCAGGCGGTAACGGCGAAGACTACAAAACACCTGGCCATCTCAACTCCAATAAAGCCTGGGAGATAGTTGCTTACCCCAAGCTACTAGCGGAAATCCGCTCAGCAGCAGGGCCTGACAAGACCATCTCAGCAGCCGTTCCCGGTTTACCACGCGACATGCTAGCCTTCACACCTTTCACCATCCCCGCCATCATGGAATCAGTCGACTACCTGAACATCATGACATACGACATGTTCAACCGCCGTGACAATGTAACAAAGCATCATACCGGTATCCAGAACTCACTCGAAGCCATCGATGCATACCTCGACGCCGGCGTACCGCCCGAGAAAGCGAACTTGGGACTGGCATTCTACATCAAATGGTACAAGACCGCTGCGAATTCGACATGCAGTGCCAACCCAATCGGCTGCGCAACAGAACTTATGGAAGATCCCACCACGGGCGCTGATCTAGGTAAAGCCGGCGCATTCTCATGGCACGACGCCGTTCCCGAAGAACTGTCCGCATCGTACGAGCGTGCGATGGAGAACGGTGTGTATGACGAGGTTGGTGGTGGACAATACTACTGGGATGCTGATGAGAACTTGTTCTGGACCTGGGATACACCTGAGGCTATTAAGCGCAAGATGCAGATCATCATGAAGGATAAGGGGCTTGGTGGTGTGTTTGCATGGGGATTGGGAGAGGATGCACCAAAGTTCGAGCATTTGAAGGCAAGTAATGAGGCAGTGGTGGCGCTGGAAGGGAATGAGAAAGGGCGTAGAGAGACGTCTGGTGAGCGGAGTGAGCTGTAGTCACTCAGCATTGGAGAATAGGAGCAGGATTGCGGGCCCCGGGGAGTCTCTCGGGCTCAGATTGTGCTAGTTCATTATAGGCTTAGCTTCAGAGGCTGCCAATAGCGCGGGCGGGGAAAGTAATAACCGGCCTTCGCCGCTGCCATCCTGTCTTCGAAGCGACGATACCTCAACCTTGGAACACTCTACTGTACAATGTGACCTTCTGCATCACCTTACTAATTCCTCAAATTCAACCACCCTACCTCCTTCGCAATCGACCCCAAGGAGCTTGCCGCCAACTGTGCCCATCCATCTCCTCAGCCACGTTGCCATCGCCTCCTGCCGTAATATCCTCCAGCTTGCGCTTCCTGATCGTTAACGAGGGATAGCATGCTTGCTCATTTCCGTGTACTTGGGATCTGCTATTTGCCACAATGATACTGTCGTTGGCATCCCCGATAACGCTGTCGACTTCTTCTGCGACGCCGGCCACGTCGTCTCCGAAGACGCTGTCGATGGTGTCTGGTACCTCTTCTAGAACGGGGACTGCGGGTTGGTGCGTGGCGTTTGGGATATATGGCTGCTCTTGGATGTCTTCATCGGGAAGCATGATATCCTCTTCGTCCTCGCTGTCTGGAACTTCGAAGCCATGGGAAACTCCAGTAATCTTTGCAAGAGCCTCTCGACCTATTGGGAGTCTCACGATGAGTGAAGGCCTCATGGCTGTCGCTGTGCTGGGCGTCGGCTCATGCTGTATTTCGCTCATCCATTTTAGGGTAATGTTGATATAATCCAGGGCGGCAATCATACAGGCGTCAAACCGACGCCACCGGATAGCGCAGTCGCTCAAACCCGCTATCAGCGCATAGTAGGCGATGACTGCGCATAGCATACCGCGCCCATCCTTGACACCTTCGTCTGTTTCTTGATGTAGGAGACAGAACGGTGATTTGAGATGGCTCGCTCTTCGCAATAAGGACGAAGCAGACCGCGGGTATAGTTGAGCCGTTTCCGCGCCGTTCGAATGAACCTGCACCTCGTCGCGAAACACGATCGATGGCTCACTTCCATTGCTATCGAGGAGTATGTACGCCCACACGGGAACTGTTATACCATCACTCTGCTTTCGGTCCCCGAGTGGGGCTTTCAAAACTTTGCGCCCCTGTAGAATGGCCTGGTCGAATGTGGGTGTATCAGGAGAGAGCACTTCCTCTATGACTGTGAACAAGCCGCGGCGCACTAGCGTGGCGTTCAGTCTGTTGATGCAGCGTTGCCATCGTAAGGGCAGTGTCGCTTGAGTCTCCTTTGCATTCGTCATTGGCAGGCGATACAGTACTATTGTTGAACTTTGATATCTGGGAAGGCGAGAGCAAATGCAAAATCAGAGCCGACTGAACGCTAGTGGTACAATCGACGCACAGATCAGGCCTACAAATTCTGTAGGAGATCGGTCGTCATACAACTAATTAGAAGACCTTACAGCGCTGACTGCGACATGCTCAACGGTGTGTGTGGTAATGGAAAGCTTCCAGGTACTCAGGTACTGATAGAGTATGTTCGCAGAGTTGCACCAGCATGAACTGTACCCAGGAGGTATTCAATGTCGTCTACAGAAACAAAAGCTTAAATAAAATACAGCGAATACCTCCCGGGTACCTCATGGCTAGGCTACACCTTCTCCATCGAAAGCGCGCTAGAGCCACGCTAACCCCATCCATACAATGCAAACGCCGCGATCAACACAAAACGCGACGCGACAACCGACTCAGCTACCTTACACCGAAAGCACCTGCTTCAATCTCGGCATTGGTTCCAAGGGCCATGGAAAACCAAGTAGGTGCGGCCGATACGGCCCTTGCCGAAACCCAAGCCCGTGTCCCACTTCTCCATCATCTCCCTGTCGCCAAGGTCCGGCTTGTCGCCTTCGTTGACCATAAGAACGAGCGTCCAAATATGATGCCATTTCGTATGCTCTTCGGCACCATCAAGGATGGGAAGGATAAAGATTGCCAGGTGTGGATTCTGCTGCAGAACGACCACGCCGCTGGCCGCTCACCCGAGCAACGCTTCAACATCTTCGACCGTCTCGGCAAGCTCCGAGGAGGCATAAGCGCGGAGGAAGCGGTGAGGTAAGTCATTCCTGCCCTATGAGCTAATGTAGAACACGTACTGACCTCTTCAGACTTGTTCTTGAGGCAAATGCGTTCAAGTGCCTCAAGAAAGCGGGCACTATGGATTTGGACCAGCTCCGCGTAGTGATCAAGTACTACTTCATCTTCAAGGGCGTTAATACACCAGTGCCATGGATAGTCAATGGTTACTTCACCACTTGGCTGACTGCGGCATGCAAGACGGCTGGAGAGTACGCTGTAAAGGTGGCCGCGAACATTGAGAAGGAGAAGTCACGCGCCTCTGCTGCACAGAACGCGTACAGTACCAAGCCCTCTGTCTCTCAGTCTAGGCCAGAAGGAGATGGCTCGGTGGTGAGGACGCGCGTTTCGTCCGCTCAGAACGTGGACGGTGCCAGGCGTTTGGTCTCTCAGTCTGGATCAAGAGCGGGCTCGGTGGTGAAGGTGAACGACCAGCCTGCAGTGGTCAGCCCCCCCGTCAAACTGGCCAAGGCTAGACGCACTCCGCAGCCTACCCCTCAGCGCGCTCCTACGGTCTCCATGATTCCCGCAGTACCAAAAGAACCGAGCTTGTTTATCCCCGAAGGCGATTCTCTCAAGAGGGCTCGCACCATGACCCCGGATCTACCCAGGAAGCGAGTGACTACGAGCATACCAGCACCGCTATCGACTCCTCCGGCGGCTACAGCACAACCCTCGCCCTCGGCAATGGTCAACACAGGCCAGGGTTTCCTCATCCACTCGGACCCCGTTGAGGCAGACAGCAGCGACGCCATGGAGACTTCGCGTACCTCGTCAACACACCGGGAGTCTACAGAGGCACTTGTAAGTTTCACCTGATCATCTAGAATACGTTATATACTGACAGGCTACCAGGTCGAGAAGAGCCCCAACTCTCGGTCGTCCATTGACTTCGCTGACGCCTATGGCGAAGCCCTCGAAAAGAAGACCAGGTGCAAGGAAAACATCATGGTCAACAAGGAGAAGCAGGGGGATGTGCGCGATGAGATCAAAGCTCTTGAGACTCAGCTAGCCCATCTGGATGTGGAGGGGCGGGAACTGAAGGAAGAAGACCGGCGCATTGGAGTCGAGATGCAGCATCTTCATTCGTCACTCACCCCGAACGAGCTCGAAATCTTCATCCTTGGAGGTGAGATGGCGATGAGAGCGTTGAAGTGGGGATATAAGGGTGCAGAGTCTGAGACCGACAGCACCGAGGAAGACTAGTTTACGCTGTACTAGTACGGCGTTAATAGCTTGGATGGGGACTTTCTTGGCATCGCGATAGCAGCGGCAGTAGCAGGACGATCAGTATGACGTTTGCAGATTACGGAGACTCTAGAAGTTGCTGTAATCACGTAGCTATCGTATTGTATTCCACACGGTAGTGTATTCCAAAACTGTCCTACATCATTCATGCGTCCAAACTACAGCGCCAAAACGCTCGCGTTCCATCTTCAAACTCCTACTCCAGCTCCTGACATCAGGCTTCCAAAGGTCTGGACTAGTAGGTCTGCTTGGTGTCTGAAGCGCATATCTTGGCTTCGCGTCGCTGAGTATTGCCAGGCAGCTCATCTGCATGCTTACTCCGCGACTTCGCTATTCGTTATTCGATGCTTGTCAATCATCAGGAGTATATGGGTATTGTGACGCCTCAATGAGCACTAAAGAAGAATTTGTTGATAGCACGATGCTCCGGCCTATTCTATCGTTGGTCCTCGTCATGAAGCGAGTTTCGCGCTGCCGGTCGGTGCAGGCTTTCGTTTCGGCAGCGAGGGTAGTGGTGTGTAATGATGAGGATAGACGTGCGGTCGAGTAGTTTTATACGCGTTGCTTCCCGTGACTCGCATGAGTGCGCAATGTGATAGTTTCGCTGCCGTCCACTAGTACTGCAATGTTACGTAGCGACGTGCCAGCCACGACGTCCGCAACCCAAGTGATAATCACGCGACGAGATTTGTGCGAATAGACGAAGTCCCGAAGTAAAGTCTAAGAGAACTGGTGGCCGGCATTGCGATGTTCTTCGCGCCTGGGTATCAATCGCAGAGGATTGGAGTTCCTATCTGGCGACTCGTCGTCGTAGTTTGGCTTGTGTGACTACTCGTAGAGCGATGCATCCACTTCCATCCAAATGCTTCGTTCCAGAAGATGGCAGTACTTCGACGTCAGGCCATGAATCGGCTTTGAGCTCAATCGAGTCTGGCAATCTTTCTTGCGGTGTCGAGGCGACCCAGCTCGTAGGCCTCTTCCCTCGACAACACATTCCAAAGTCGGTCCTTCGCGACCTTGGCTTGATGTCTCTCAGCGATGAGCAACTCTACAGCTTCCGCCTCCATATTGATTTCTTTCTCAATCTCCGACCTCTTCCGCTTTAGGTCCTCTATTCGGCTGTTATGGCGCTTTATGTTGGTGCAGGCGGTCTCCATTCGGTCTTCGAGATCAAAGTAGCGGTCGATTGGGTCGAGTGGTTCGATCAAAGTTGCACCACTCAATCTTCGTGATTCATCATCGCGCTGCATGCTGTTAGATGACATTTATTACAGCTGATTCTTTCGTAACATACCTTCGCGTCGTAGTCGGTAGTGCTGCATGGTGAGGGTAGCTGATGGACTGATATTGTTGACTTTGAGCGGGCTCTTTGACTTGGAACGACTTCTGAAGGTTGTTGAGGTTCAACCAGGGCTTCTGGTGATTGTTCTCGACCAAGACATTCGGGGACGCGAACTCGTAATTTGACGATCTTAGATGGGGCCTCACTACCAAGCATGGCCTTGAGTAGTCGGTTTTGTTCAAACGTGAGTTTCGGTTGGTATCTCTTCGTCAACTTCTTTCTCGCGAAATAGTACGTGGCCAAGGCCTCCAGCTTCTCCGGGGTTGTGGCAAGCTTGA